TAAAAGCCCTTGTAGGATGGGTTCCACACTTTATTGTTCCTCACTTGGGTGGGAGAGGGCAGTGCGTAGTCCAGCAATGGTGTTGCCTCCCATGTGCTGTCCCCAGTTACAGGTCCTAGTTCCCAGTGCTGGTCTGTCCAGCAAAACTCACAGGTCAGGCAATCACAGCTTCCCAGTCATTGAGTTACTGGAACTGTGAATTCTTTCTCTGCACCTTCCCTTCTGCTTCGACTTTGCCGTTTGTCTCTAGGCAGAGGAACTTGGGAAGAAATCTGGTGTTGGCAGTGCTGGGCTTTGAGCTCTTCTGTCAGCCAGACAGTCCTATTGGCATCTGGTAGTTCAGTGAGACCTTACCTTCTCCTAGCCTTCTTCCTTGGTCTTTGGCTGTGTGGGATGGAAGGGGGCTGAGCTGCTCCCACAGAGAGTAGACATAAAGGGTGCCCTTAGGGAGCAGCTGTTATGGCCAACTGTCTCTGCAGGCTGAGGGTAGGGAGGATGGAGTTTGGTTTGGGTCTCTCCTTCCTACTGTTCTTTTTCTAGGTGGGCTGGGTTGATGAGGCTTATCCTGAGGATGAGAGGTTGGTCTAAAGCTCAGGCTTCATGCTGCTATGGCATAGCCGTTGGCCTTCCTTGTGTGGACATTAGGAGCCACAGGGCAGGGTCCAGTTCTGAACTGGAGGCTGCCTATGAAGCTGTTGTACTTGGGGCGTTGCTAGGATGAAGAGAGCAATGCCCTAGATCTCGCTTTACACAGAGGGATTTCTTCAGCAGCATTGAGCAATCCCTTTTAAAGAAAAGGAAATATAGGCATGGCTTCTGCTATTATAGAATTTACAGTCTAAAGCAGACAGAATCTTCATGGGTTTTCAGATGTGCAGCAGCATGAAACTGGATGATGAGCTTGTGTCTTTCTACCTTGGATTTACTAGTGAGAGTTGTGTGGTTGAGAGTTGGTGAGAAGGAATGGATCCTTCTCTTCAGTTACTCGTTAGAAGGTTCAGATCTTTCTAATTTCTCATAATGATTCAGCTTTCTTGAGAATATGAACAGAAACCTGTCAGAGGTTAATTTTTTTCTTTGTCTTTTTGGACTTGAGTGAAAAAAATGTTACGTGCAAGGTGGGTTTATGTAATGGGCCAAGTGTGGTCTGTGGTGGGTCACCACTAGGAGTTGGGGAGAAGTGGAGTCTGCTCCCCAAGAATGGGTGGTGGAGACCTAGAGCATATGGGGGAGATGGATCTTCCACTGAGTATAGGATGGAGATGCTTGGACCATGCTAGAACTGGGTTACTTTCAAAGTGGTGTTCAGCAGTGTGGCTTCTTCTCAGAGAAGAGAGTGTGAAAATGCCTATCATCCACCAAGGCAGTATGCAGAAAGGTACAAAAATGTCCCCAGCTGACCTCCTTCCCTACTAGAGGTCACAGTGGAGGCTAGTGATCTCAGATGGCTATGAGCCGATAGACCTTGTGAAAAGTCAGGACCAGACTGGGAAGAAGTGAGTGTGTGTGGTAAGGAAGGAAGTGGACAGATTTCCATTTTGATCTGAATGCTTTGCAGTTGCATGATGTAGTGGAGGGAGGCTGTTGTCTGAAGAGGAAATAGACCACGAGTTCATACGAATTTGCACCTTTTCTCTAGAAACCAGTTGGAATTCTATTTCCATGTTGGCTGATCTGCAGACTGTGCCATAGAGAGTCTGCTGGTAGCACGTCCCTTGAGTGAACTCACATTTTTCTCCATCATTTCCTTTTTCTTTGAATTAGGAGAAGCCTCCACTTTTCCACATTCTTCCTTTGGTATATGAACAATAATTAAAGATGCAGCAAATCAGTGTTGGGCTCTGTTGAACTCCCAGCCTGTGTAGTTGTCTTCGTTTTCTCTTCTGAACCGTGTGTGCTTTGCCCAGGTCTCTCTACCAATGGGGCAAAGTGTGTGTCATGTACTATGTGTGGGAGCATGTGGATGCCATACTCGCTTCTGGCAACCTGTATGGGGCCCTGAGTTCGTGGGTCAGTCACAGGGCAGGCTTTATATCCTGAGGATTGGACAGGATGGGACACCTGTGTCTCTGAAGGCTGAGAAATGATGGCAACAGTGAGGTTTTGAAGAAAGGCTGGTGATCTGTTCTGAAAGTTTATTCCACTGAAAGATAAATAGCAGGTGCATCAAGGAGGAGACTTGGGTAATCTGGATTAGAAGGTTTTAAAATGAATAGATTGTTGGGTTGGGTCTAGACTGCCTAGGCATCAGAGGATAACATAGCGGACAGTGACAAGTGGGACATGGCTCAAGGGAAGTAAGAGTGCCCCCTTGTAGGAACTCCTTAGTTAGAGGCCAGTTAAAGGATATGGGCAAGACTTTTGAATAATAAAATTGTGTCTCCACCCAAAATTTTAGATATCATCCACATCACTTTACAAGCGAGAAAATGCAGGGAGATTGTGATCACGTGACTTGTCCAAGGTCTTAAAACAAGGTAATGGCTGATTCTGGATCGGGATCCAGGTCTTTGGGATGCTCGCTGGGCATTCTTCCCCGTACCCTGCTACCTCTGTAGCAACTGGGCAAGTGCTCATCAGCTTTCACACCAAGCCAGTCCAGTTGGCCAAGAATAGCCACTTCCACTAATTGCTAGGCAAATCCATTCGCACGTAAAGGCAATGGGGTTACTCAAAGTGTGTTCATCAGGGTGAGGGATTTGATCTAGAACCCTCAGAGAGAAGAGACAGGAGCACAAGAGGAGAGTTTAGCTTGGTGGTGGCTCCCCAAATCTAAAGACTAGTCACTTCAGAGTCCTTTTGGAAGACAAATCCAAATGGATGTGTGTCCTTCTGTTCCTCCCGACAGCCACCCCTGAGAGGTGGGCACCCCTGGAAGCTAACAAAGCATCAGTGAAGAAAAGAATGAAAATAAATCACAATGAAACCCATATGTTGCAGTCCACCAGACCTTACCATGATAGTGCGTGGGAAGTTCGTCTGCTGAGTTACTTGTGAACAGAGCCTTTGCCACTCCATGGAACATCTCTTAGAAAAGCAAACATCTATCATGCCTGGGCAAGTGACAGGAAAACTCTGCTATTGTGTGTGTGTGTGTATGTGTGTGTGCTCACGTGCATGCACACGCACTCACATACTTGGGTGCATATTTTAAAACGTGCTTCACCCAAACCCTATTAGGACATGTCCCAGTGCCCAGTATTGTGAAATATATTTAGAGTTAAGGATGTTCAGCTAAAATGTTCTGTACTGTTAATATTTCTCAATTTGGATAGATCAGCCATGGCCAGGAGTGAGATAACAGGGGGGGTGGGGTGCACTGTGGTGTCATGGATGGGGTGTGTGTGTGTGTATGTGTTTGTGATTGAGAAATCATTTGTCTTTGGCAAGGCGGTAAAGGGAAAGTCAGCAAACAAAACAATGTGATTAAGAAAGAGTTCTACGAAGAGAACTGTATGTGATCCCTATCAAAAGGCTGCACACACTGGACACCGTACACTGTCCTCATGCCATGGTGTCCCACAGACCGTGGTGCTAAGGAGGCTCACCTGGGGGCACCGCATGGTTCTGACATGCTCTTACATTCTCATTCTGGGATTTGGAGGGTGGTAGTGGGTGGCTTGGTTTCATTATCATGATCTGGGCACTGAGGTCCAGGTCTGGGTACTGGCGGCTTGAGTGTATAATACTCCCTCTCCCCACCTGCAGTTTTATCTAGCATCAGCACCAGCTCTCTAGCCCTTCACTGTGGTCTTAGCACATTTACCTTCTGATGGCTATGGGGTGTTGGCTCTCAGAAGGCTTTGCATTCTCTCCTGGCTGGCCCTCCTCCTACACAGATCTTGTCTCTGGCTGCCACTGTGCTGGTCCTTAGGGCTCAGGTCCTTGGGGAAGTTGTGAGGAAGGTGCAGAGACTGGGGCAGAGGTGCAGGCTCGACCTGGATCCAGCAGGGGCATGTAAGGGCCTGAAAATAGGAGTGGGGGGGGGAGGAAATTTGGGGCTCCAGGACACCTGGCAGCTCAGAGCCTCTCTCAGCACTCTGCTTCCTGCTGGCCTGCCTGGTTCCCTGTGTCTTATGGGCTCACAACTGAGCCTGGGGGTCTGGTGGGAATGGCCCTGAGTTGGAAGTTGGGATTGGGTACTGTTGAAGGCTGGGCCTGTGATCAAGGGAAGATACATGCCCAGCCCACCTCACAGAATCATAGTGATGGCCAAATGAGATAACGTGTGTGAAAGTATTTTGGAAAGCCAAAAATGAGTACTACCACCTTAGGTTTAGAGAATGATGTTGGTTTCTTGAAACCCTTCTTTCTGTGGGGGCAGGACATAGAGGGAAGATACCTCTTACGCTGGGCCTCAGGGGAAGGGTGTGTGTGCCAGGAGACTCTGTAGATCTAAGAACATCTGGATGCCCTGAGAGAAGCATCTGTGTCCATAAAGACATCAATTCATTCATAAGCTTATTCAGAGGCTCCTTTGTGCCACTTTAGTGGGAGTTGGAGAGAGGAGAGAGAAAAGACACAGGTGCAGTCCTCCTGAGTCTGGCAGGTGCAGCTCGGCGAGGGCAGTCCTGTCACCTAGGTGCGAAGCAGAGGCCAGGGGACCTCTGTATATGATCTGTGCTAGTTTGGCAGTAAGCTTTATGTCTGTCTGACTGTCCTGGGTGTGTCTTCCTTCCCCCTCTGAAATTGGATGAGATCGTTTTCCCTGGCCTATGTGCCAGTGGGTAAAGCAGCAGGAAGTGCCCTGTTCTTCTAGTCCTTGGGTAGGACCAGGAATGGATACTTCATTGGTGGCAGTCCATGGGAAAGGGGGTGATGTACGCTGTCTGAGGATCCAGCAATGTGTCTCCATCAGTGCCGTCAACATCAGCCATGCCCCCTACCTCCCTTCCTCCTGTCACCTGCCAGAGGGATGGCTGCAAAGCCCCCAGGTAGGGGTGGGCCCACCTTCTGTCCAGCCAGAGCAGCAGCAACCTGTGTTTTCCTTTCCCCTACAGGAAGCTACATAGTGGGATGAAGACGTACGGGTGTGAGCTCTGCGGAAAGCGGTTCCTGGATAGTTTGCGACTGAGAATGCACTTACTGGCTCATTCAGGTAGGCAAAGATGCCTTAACTTGTCCCTTCAGGCACAGACAACTACCTCCTGCCCACCTTCACCCCCATTCAGAGCCTGCTGTGGCCTGGATGCCCCCACTGCCAGCTGGAGCCTTGGTCCACCTTGTCCTGTGGATCCTCCCTCCACGTTCATGGGGAAGAAAGTCCATCCTGACGGTGTGACCACCTGGATGAACCCATCCTTAAGCTCTCCTGGGTCTCCCAGGGTGTCGTTGGCACCCAGTGCTCCGTGTGATCTGCCTTCCAAAGTAGACTGCAGTTTCATTAGCAAAACAGTTGTGGAATTAGGTTCTCGTTTTCTAATGAATCTGATTATTGGGTTCACATTATACAGGAGCCTTTAATTAAATAGATATAGAAAGGTTGGAACACAAAGCTAGTTATAGTGTGCTGTCTTTTACAAGTTAATTCTATCCAATTCCAGTGGGGTTGACTGAGTGGCTGCTGGTAATTTTGCTCGTGTTTGGGCAAAGCTGCTCTGCCCCATGAGGTGTGGGAAGAGTAGAAGCACCTGACATTCAGCATGCCCAGGTATTCTTGGCAGTGGGAAGGATCTAGCAGGTCTGATGCTATGGCTTCGAGGCTGAAGGGTTACCTGCCTTCAGTTGTAGAGGTCTCAGCACCTCTCTGCCAGGGGCATATTCTCTTCCCTCAAATTCCCTTGTCTTCCAACTTTGGAGTCCATTTTTAGGGGAGGGGAGAGGCCTATCTTCTTACTTGATCTGCTTTCCCTGCATGTGGGCAACTGCCGACACCTGCCTCTTCTTTCCCCACTTCGCTTCAAGCAACCAACCCTCTAGGCAGTTTGGGTTTGTGAAATGAGCATGGGCTTTGAGACTGGATAGATGAAGGTTCAGATCCTGTTTGTGATATGTGCTAAGTGTGTGACCTTGGCCAGATATATGGCCATTGTGAGCCCATTTCTGCATCTGTCAGGTGCAGGTGTTTGTAGCTCATATAACTTTTTTTTGAGGATTAGGCGACAGGATATATGTTAAAGGCATCTGTAGCAAGCTCCTTGGCATGCAGTTGGTGTTTAAAATCAATGTCAGGTGCTGCTGCTTCTACCTTCCTCCCTTTTCCCCACTTCCGAAGCTGTCACCCTTCATTTTAATTCACCCTTGCAGATAGCTCATAGCCTGCAGAGTCTAATATTTCTGCTCTCTTTTCTTCTCTAGTCCTGCATACCTCTCAGTGCTGTGCTAGGATGTCTTGGAAATAAAAGAGCACAAAGGGGACCTGGGGCAGGTCCCCATCACCTCACTCCAGAAGCTTCTGCCTGGCTGGCTGTTTGCATTCTGCTCCCTCTCCAGCTGTCTTGTGTCCAGTCCTGTAAACGCCCTTCTGTGGTGCTCTGTGCTTCAGCTGGCCACCACCCTGCAGCAAAGCCCCTGTGGCTGAGCTCTGTGTTGGATGTGATCGCTCTCCCTGGCCTTCATGGCCCTTCCTAAAGTGCCCCAGCTCCTTCTCACTTCCTATTCTGCCCTCTTCCAGATCCAGGGACTTGGCTGTGCCAGGCAGCTGTCTACCTCGGCATGTCCATGCTGTCCATGTCTTTGTATGTCCCATTCCTCCTTCCTGTGGTCCTCCACATGCTGACACCTTCCTCCAGTGAGCTGTCCTCGTCCTGCCCACCTGTCCCCCCTCAGCCCAGAGTCCTGAGTCCACGCACTCACATTCCTGTGTGTGGCACCTGTTTGGCACTCAGGTTCTGTTTTCATGACTTGCATGTTGTATGCTCTTGCTTCCCTTCAGCTTTGTACATTGTTTAGGGCTCTGTGTGTGGTTTCATGAACCTCCTGCCAAAGGGTTGTCTATCCCTTCCCACCCCAGCAGCCAAGTGTGGGTTTGCTGTTTCTTTTGCTCCCTGTCCCATGCACCTGTGTGGCTCTGGACACTTTGAAGGGAGCAGTATACTTTCCAGCCTGTTATTATAGCCCTCTCCATAACTCGCCCCAGTGAGCATCCTTTCCCGTTACTCTTTCCTCGAGTCTGGGGTGCTAGCCAGACTCATCCGCTGGATTGGTTGCGCTGTGTGCCCCTTGCCTCCAGAGCTCCGTGGCTTTGTGCACCCATCTGTCTGCTTGGAATAGCCCTTCCTTCTCTTCCCAGATCTTTCAAGGTCTCTTCCACGATGCCATCCTTGCCTCTTCCCCACCTGCAGCCAGAAGCAACCATGCCTTCTTCTGGATGCCTGTATTTCTTTATCTGAAGCTATCTTTGGGTGCTGTCTTTCTTCTTTCTGTTGTGGTTATTTATGGTCTTGTCTTATCTCCCCTACTTGGGAAGGAATTTGGGCACCCACTTCCTGAAGATATGACCTTGGGCAAGAAATGTAAGCTCTGCGAGTCTCAGTATCCTCATCTGTAAAATGAGAGTATTTAACCCTACCTCAGAGAGGTTGTAGGGCTCCCATCATATACTTAGCACTATATGACACATAACAGGCTCTTGGCAAATGTAATTCCCCTTTTCCTTTCTTCCTCTAACAGACTAGAAGCTGCTTGGGGACAGGATCTGTCCCCATTGTGTCTAGCACATTGCCTGGCACATTACTGGAGCCAACAAATATTTATTAAATGAATGGGTGGGTGCAGCCCAGGAGGCTGGTGGACAATTCAGAGAGACTCTGCTCTCCTGCCTGAACTCTCCTGCAGTTGGAACTGTTATGACCAAAGGGCTTATCGGGGGCAACCCCCATATGGCCTTCTGACCCCTGTTGCACCCCACTTCCAGGCAGTGGGACCAAACATGAGTTAGCCACTGTTTCTGCTGTGAATCACAGGCCAGTAGTGTTGGTGGGGCTGGTGGGAGCGGCCAGGCGGAGAGGGGTTACTTACATACGTTCAGGTGGGCCCCGTGTCCCCAGTCCAGATGGGATAGTGACTTTGCACCCCCCTCCCCCGCCCCAAGAGCCGACAGTTCCCTGGGGAAGTGTATTCTGGTCCTGTCTTAGAGGCCACTTCAAGGTCCCATGGTCTCATATGGATACCCCAGAGGCTTTGGAGTTGGGTCCCAGTTTCCAGTTTTTCCCTTCCATGCCTATCTTATTGGACATTGAAGGCTGATGGTGTCAAATGACTTGTCACTCTGATGGTCTCTTGCCAGTGCCCTTGTAAAGGCGGATTTGGTGATGGGGCAGGTAAGAAGAGTCATAATAGTGTTTTAATTCACCCTTGCAGATAGCTCATAGCCTGCAGAGTCTAATATTTCTGCTTTCTTTTCTTTCTCTCGTCCTGCATACCTCTCAGCCCTGTGCTAGGATGTCTTGAAAATAAAAGAGCACAAAAGATTTAGTGAGGTTAGACCACTTCCTGAATTGTTTGCTCCTTTGTGAAGCAGTGACAGCCTAGGGGTCTCTGGAGAGACCTGGCCTTGTTGCAGAGTTGGGGTCTGAGGGCTGGGCTGGTGGTGCTGGGTCTTCTCGCAGATTCCAGCAGTGCTTTTACAGATCCTGATTCCTGCCCCCAGATGCCTGATAACAGAACTATGTGAGTTTTTACAGGAGATGTTTCATTAGATGATGCGAGATTTTCTTGTTCTGTTTTGAAGGCTCTGGTGCAGGGAGCTGCCAGAGACAATGGCCCCTCCAGGTATGTAATGTGGACCCATTTTACAGAAGATAACCAACGGTTGGAGCAGTAGCACAGAGCCTAGAAGAACAATGGTTGCCCCAGAACTATGGGGACCATTTTTTTTTTAAGGGGCAGGCGGTGTAGAAGTGAGTCTGGAATATGGGTAGGGGTCACGGCAGCTCCCCTAAATGTGGCTGTCCTTGGCAGGCACATTCCTGCTGTTCTCTTCTGCTCAGCGGAGCTGAATGGTGCTGGCTTCCTGGCTCCCCAGCACTGGCTGCCCCACCCCCTCTTGGCAAGCGTTGCCTGTGTTTGTTATTGTAGTTCTGGCACGGGGCCAGGCCTGGCTGGGAGCCAGCCTTGTGGGTACAGTATGTACAGTGAGTGCTGAGCCAAGTTTGTCATCATACACGATTAATATTTTTTTTCTAATCTGTTGGGGGGGGGCGCAGTGGATGGGGGGGGCAATGAAGGAGGCAAGAAAAGAGTTTCTCCAATGCTTGAGAACAGGCCACACTGAATTCCGCAGAGATGTCATTTATGAGAGGAAGACAGTGCTCCAGCTTGCTTTTCCTTTGCAGCTCTTCCTCCTTTCTCACCTTCTTCCTCCTCTCCTCTTCCTTTCCTTATCACATGAAATCAGCCTGTAGGAGACTGACAATTTGAGCTCTTATTTTCAGACTGGAATACTAAATTTACACTCCTAAATCAGTTTTCATTGTGTTGAAATTGACAATTTGTTTAATTAGAAGTTTGCCCTGTAGGAGGCCCTTCTGAGAGGCAGTGTTTTCTCTTTTCTCTCTCTTACTTTTTTTTTTTTTTTAGTTTTTTTTCAAAGACCCTAAATGGTAGTAGTGAATGTTCAGTTTAATTGAAGTTTTTATTTCAATTTGAATGTGTTAACTAATCCAGTGTTTATGAGATATACCTGATGATAATAATAAGTTTAAATTAATTAACAATAACCCAATTCATTAACTAATGAGATGACCTTGCCAGGCCCTGCATTCTCAGAGGTGGTTTTGGGGGTCAGAAGGGTTTGAGTATTTGGAAAGAGGCTTGGGGTGGGAAGAGAGGTGACCTCCAAGTCTTTGCAAAACTGGCCCTGTGGGAGGGTGAAGCTTGGTGTAGGACTGTGGCAGTGAGCAGGAGAAGAATTACCCCCGCCCCAATCTGTGTCCTGAGATGATGCTGAAGCCTTTCTCCTGACACTTCAGTGCCTTATCCCTTGTGGGCCCCTGCCCCTTAAGCATTGGTGGATCTGCTGTCTCCTTGTCTCTCCTTGTTCTAACGTAAGAGGTGACTTCGGGCTTTGGGATGTCCATGCAAAGACCACAGACTCAGGCAGTGACTCATATTGGTTCTGAGATTGGCCAGTGTAAGTTTTCCCATTAGGTGGTATTT